TAAATAAAAATTAAAAAACATCATGCTGATGTATGGAGTTAATTAGCCATACTTTTGAAAATTGCTGTGCTTCCTAAAATTACCCAGGCAGTATTAACATTTCACTTAAAATATGTGTCACAACAAGGTACTTGTAATGTAATTCCTAGTATTGTATTAGTAGAGAACTACACTGAAATTCAAAGAGAATCTGTTCAGGGAACGTTGTCCTCTCATGTTCCTGACCATGGAATCACCAGCTGACATGGAAACATCAGGAGACAACAACACCTCTCTCAGGACCAGGACAATTCCATACTCAACCTCCCTAGTTTAAGGAGATGTGGTTGCTGTTGATGTTTAAGGGAGTAGGCTGGGAAAATCTCAATATGTGGACACTTCCTAGGAGTTTACTGGGTAGAGGGCAGAGCTGCGCTTGTCACAGAAAATAAATCATCATGTCACAGTGAGAGAAGAATGGTGGGGGACTGGAGGGGTAAGAACAAGGTAGCGGGAATGATGTAAAACAGAAACTTCTTGACACTGTGCTATTATGTGCCAAATAAATAAACAAATGCTTATGGAATTTTCTTTGTCATAGCACTGAAGTTCCCGGTTTTTGACACCCAATTTACATTTCTAGAAAAAATTTTTAAATCCTGTAGAGAAATTATTTCCAGTTAGGAGTTGAATGATGAAATTAAACCAGCTAAGTAATGCTGAAGATAAAGGCAAATTTAATGATGGCCACATGGTCAACCACTGCTCTGATCAATAAATAAACATGTTATTGACATAGGTGGCTTGCTGGTAAACATCAAATTTGGAAGCATTTTTGAAAGACCAGAACAACCAAAGAAAAAGAAGAGCAAATAATGAGATAAAATAAGCAAGAGAAAGTTCAAAGAAATATTAAAGGTTAACATTTTAACTGTGAGATTTCAGCTGGTGGAAAATCCCCCAAGATAAACAGTGGTAACTCCATGGTCTGAGTCATCTAAAATTGGAATGAGCACAGCACTGGAAACCAGACTGTGGTAACCAGTCTTAGTCTGGCAGAATAATGAACAACATGAAATAATAGGGCTTCCAGCTTTCATTTCTGTGAGTCTATGAAATTAAGAGCCACTAACATTTCACATCCCGATACAATGAAACATCTATATCTTAAACAATGTCAGTTCTTTTTTTTTTTTATTTTTTTTTTTATTTTTTTTGCGAGAGAGAGAATGAGAGAGAGCACGAGAGGGAGGAGGGTCAGAGGGAGAAGCAGACTCCCTGCTAAGCAGGGAGCCCGATGTGGGACTCGATCCCGGGACTCCAGGATCATGACCTGAGCTGAAGGCAGTCGCTCAACCAACTGAGCCACCCAGGCGCCCCTTAAACAATGTCAGTTCTATAGCTAACAATCAAACCCACGTTTTGACTACTATCATAAAGTTTTGTCAATTTTTTTCCCTTTCTCTTTTTCTATAAAGATATTTTTTTCAACTCTAAATTGAATTTTTGCCTCTAGCATAACATTAAATACCATTAATAATAAACATATCTTTATGTTTTCATAAACTAGTCACATATATTTACATACCATACACTTCATACTTGTCCCAACTCCTTTCTCATTGTCCCACAATCCCACTAACATTTATGCTGAATGCTCAATCACACACTTCAAAAATAATCTGCTAACAGGATTTCATTATTGATGGTAGCCCAAATGCTGATAAATCATAAAAGGACACCTGCTGAATCTCAGTTATCCTCTTGTGTAATATCAGTTAACTGACAGTAAGGATAGGACATCTGGTGCAGCCTATTTAGCACTGACTTACTCGGAAAGTATTCTGCTCTAGTTTACACTCTTGTCCTACCTTTCACTATTAAAATGTAAGACAGTTCCTAGGTTTGCACTTTGATTTCTTTCTGCCCTCCTTCTCTGTTCCCTTATGACTCCAAGGAATTATTTCATACTGGTTCTTTTTATTATTATAGAATATATTTCTTAAAAAAATAATTACACTAGGGGCGCCTGGGTGGCTCAGTTGGTTGAGTGACTGCCTTCGGCTCAGGTCATGATCCTGGAGTCCCTGGATCGAGTCCCGCATCGGGCTCCCTGCTCGGCAGGGAGCCTGCTTCTCCCTCTGACCCTCCCCCCTCTCATGTGCTCTCTCTCATTCTCCCTGTCTCAAATAAATAAAATCTTTAAAAAAAAATAAATAAATAAAATAAAATAATTACACTAACTATAATGTAGTACTTATTCTTGATAATCACCTCTGCTTCTATGGATGCTAGACAACGAGACCTACAAAGAGGATGTACATGTTTCTACAGAAAGGGAGCAGTAAAAACCAACTCAGTATGAAAAATGTTTCTACCTGGAGAAATGATCTGGAGAAAGCATGTTCTGAGATTTATATCTCACAGGGGCACTCCTGTGGAAACCTGGTGGATGACTAAGCTGAAAATTCTGAAATAGCAATAGTTTTCCTTCTTAACACATATGATCTCCTGGGGTAGGTCCATTTTGTGTCACTTTTATCAGATGTCTTAAATTTGTCACATTTAACTTTTCCTCTCAAATTGAGGTTCCCAACAGTTCTCATTTCTGCTATTCTCATCAGCAATTTATTATATGTTTATGCTTAAATATAGATATTTTCATTTAAGCCCTTCCCATATTTTCTATTTCCTGTATAGCCTTTATTCTTTCATTTCTCTCTCATGATGCTCTCTTGAGTCAAAGGTCAACAGCATAATGAGTCACAAAATAGGATAAAGTGCTCCGATAATCATAATTTAGGGAGATCCTAATTTCCGTTCTCAGAGATACTCAGCATGCAGGATGTCTATCTAAAGTCATCTATGATTCTGACCAAAAGGATTTTTGAGAATTCTGAGTATATTTGGACACTCAATGCATATAAGGGATGGCATTCTTCTGGGTCTTTCTTACTTGAAATCCAAATACAGGTCCTTAAATACCTTACCAATAGAGGCTTAGGAAAGAAAACTTACAGCTCTTCTTTCATCTTCCTAATAAAGAAACCCTGTGATGTAGGATGTATTCATTATTATATTTTCATTTTCTGTGACTTGCATTCAAGCAGTTCTTCCCTGACAGTAGTAAAGGAACTAACATGCAGAGTGCCTACTCTCAGGGTTAAGTACCTGGGGTATATGATCTTATTTAGTTCAAAGCCCCAAACAGTCTACATTCAGGTTGAAAGTTTGACTGAAGTTATGTGAAGTGACCATATCACTGAGTCTCACAACACACCATGGTTCTTTCCTAAAGAAACAGTCTTTCTGAAATAAAGTCCATTAATGCAACCTGATTATAAAAGGAATGTTCTGAACATGATCTACAAAGTCATACTGTAACAGGATAAAATGCAGCCTACCCACACCCACCCACACACAGAGCACACACACGGTACACATTCATATTTTTTTTCTGCCAAGGACCAGGGGAAAAAGGAAACAGTTCTATTCCTTCCCCTCTTGTGTTCAAAGCCTGGATTGAGGCCAGTGTCCTAATCAGTTCTCATTGGCCCTGGAGGAATCAGAACCTTTTGTAAAATATAATAAAGGGCATAAAATCATGATAAAATGCATGAAAAAGCAGTGCCTTTGGTTAGGGAACTAGAAATAATTTAGCAGAACAGATGGATTGCATTGGTTTGGTATTATTGAGGACATGAAAGGGCTCATTTTGTGGCAGTTCCAAACTAAGAGAAAATGTCCAA